TTTTCACATCTAAACTTTCACATGTCAAATTCTTCAGCCAAGGACGTGAAGCACGAGTACCGAAATAGAAATGGATTATATTAATAAATATTTATATTGAATTATTTATTATTTATTATTTCTACTTTATTTAAAAGTAAAGTAAAATTTATTAATATGAAACTGATAATTTTATTTTAATTCTCTTCTGTTACATGAAATCCAACTATTTAATTGTTTTTTTAAATTACCTAAAATTATTTTTTTTGCGCATATATTATTATATATGTATACAATACTATTTTTTATTTAATTATTATGCTACCAGTCCAACCGATCCGACCATTTGAACCGCAACCCGCTGATCTTTTCAACTTAACATCCAGTCCGGCTTTTAAAACATTGACACACACCTTTCACACACATACCACTCGACCTTGGCAGTCATTATTAACACACGCTCTGGGAAGGAAAATAAATACTAGTAGTGGCAGTAATAATAATACTCCTTCTGTTACTCAAAAAAAAAAAAACTCCTTCTATTCTTATTGTAAAGTTTTAAATAATTAATTAAAATTAGTAAAAAATAATAAATAGTTAGAAATAGATTTTTATTTTTAAATATATTTTTATAATAAATAAAAAATGAAAAAGAATGCATGAAGAAAAATGATAAGGGAGAAATAATTAAAGATAATAAAATAAAACACATTTTCTTTTAAATTTAAAGTTTATAAATATGGGTCAGAGGGAGACGATTCATTTTTGGACGTCACTTTCCGTATAAATGTATGCTCTCGTTCTTATCCGTTGGACATTGTTCGATGGTCACGATCCTTAATGCAGTGCAACAAGGTGGGGCCCCCGGGACCAGGTGTTAATGCCCGCACGCAATCACTACATCCTTCCAAGTGGCCCGACACCCCGAAATGGAAAGATCTAAAATGAAGAACCAATCTTCAGAAACCGCAGCGGCAAAACCCAATCGAAACCGTTCTGGCTCTGAGTCACCGCGCTCTCCAACTTCACGCGCCAACTCGCGGGAAAATTTGACTGTAAAACCAGATAAAGAAAGTATCGAAGAAAATTACATTGTTATTACTATTACATTGTTGGGGTCCGTCTTGAATTTTATGCGCGGGTTGGCCGCGGCTCGCGGCAATCTATATAAAGTGGGGTTCCAGAACTCAGATACTCACGCTGGCTGTCATTAGTTGTATATCGGAGGCGGAGGAAGGGGACGTGAGTGCCGCTTCTGTCGTCACCAGCACAAGAGCGAACTTCCATGACCGTGCCGGACTTCGAGGGTAATCCGCAGAAGCTGCGCGATGATGGAGCCGCTGATGTTGAAGTGCCCGATACCGCTCACCAGATTAGCAGAGGTTCGTCCTTCCTTCTTCAATCACTCCCATTTTGTTTTTTTCTTTTGTGTGGCAAAATTAGTTAGTTTCGGAGTAAAATATGTGAATGAATTGTGATTGCAACTGGAGCTCAATGAGTTGGAAAAATGAGATTTATTGTTCATTGCATTGCTAAGAAGTACTAGTTACTAGTGTTTAACAAGTTCTTTCACTTAATAGTTTGACTCTGGGGTCGCTCTCTTGATTGTGTTCTTGAATCCAAAGGCATATTTTGTAATATAATTCCCACTTGTATATGCTCTGTACCCCTTTTTTAACTGGTTTTGTATTTTTCTGGGTTATTTATTTATTTTTATTTTCTGGCTTTTAGATTCATGGTTTCAAGTGGGCTTTGTTCTCACCACCGGAATCAACAGCGCATATGTCCTTGGATACTCTGGTACCATCATGGTTCCCCTCGGTTGGATATATGGTGTGGTTGGTTTGATTGCTGCTGCTGCGATATCACTGTATGCAAATGCCCTTATTGCCAAGCTGCATGAGTTTGGAGGAAGGAGGCATATAAGATACAGGGATCTTGCCGGACATATCTACGGTAAGTTTTTCTTTTATGTTGTTTTTTGGGACGAAATATCTACGCCTACGGTAAGTTGAAACGTGGTAATAGAAGTGAAAAACAAGTAGACGACTCCTCGTGTACGTCTCAGCGTCGTAATTTGTTGTTCGCATTCTTATTGCAGGTGGGAAGGCATATTCTCTTACATGGGCGCTGCAGTATATCAATCTTTTCATGATAAATACTGGCTTTATCATTTTGGCTGGTTCAGCACTAAAGGTGATGCAATTTTGGGAAGCAAGTCCATCTTTCCTATCCATTCTCATTAATTAATTTTTGGACGCTTTAATGACTTCTTTGGGAGAGATGTCTCAATCTTTGCAGAAGAACTTCATAGTTTCCTTCAAGTATTGGATAACTAATCTCATTTTCCTGTTTACGAACCAACTACAGTTTATCAGCCTTTCTTTTCATTTACATATTGATCCCAAGCAAATCTGTAGGCATTTGTTCTTTTTAGTAATTTCAATTTATGGGACTTTAACAATCTCAAGTCTTTGAACAAGTTGTAAAATCTTCTGTGCATGATCCAATATTTGTGGAATCATTCTGATGTTATATGAGCTAAAAACTATGATCGACATACCTACTCTTTGCCGTTTTTTATTTTGTCAAGGCCCCCTTTTAATAAGCTTGTGTGATTTTGTGTTGAGCGTTCGTGCTGAAACAATTTTCCCCTCTCGAATCTTTTCTGTGCATTGTGGCGCAGGCCGTCTATGTTCTGTTTAGGGATGATCATCAAATGAAGCTTCCATATTTTATTGCCATAGCTGGATTCATGTGTGCAGTGTTTGCTGTATGCATCCCCCATCTTTCAGCTATGAGAATTTGGCTGGGATTTTCAACAGTCTTCAACCTAATATTTGTTGTAACAGCTTTTGCGTTGTCGCTTAAAGATGGTAACCACTCATGTCTCTGCCTAAAGAACTTTCCATGTAAAAGTCTGTTATTCTGTGCATTTCCTGAGGAAATAAAATGTCCTTTCCTTGCTGATTCAGGCTTCTTCGGTGAGAATGACTATAACTATCAATGCATTGTCTGAAATTGACGCTTATATTCATTCTAGCATCGATTTTTTCGTTTGGATACGAGTTCATCAATATCCATGGCTAAGCGTTCTGTAAATATGCCATATGATTGTGGAAAATTTTGAATGCTTGGTCCCCGCCTAAAATTCCTGGCGGTACTACGCTGAACATTTCTTTTATTCCCCTTCTCGACTTAAGGCTCCTGGGACAACCTTTTAAAGCGTGCAGATAAATTCATTTCAAATTCACTTCATTGTGATTATTTTTCTCCCTTGTCATTTGCATATGTGGCGATCTTTCCCCTTATTTTCTTTCTCAGAAATACCTTTCCTGACACGAGTACACGATATTGCAACGGATGTCTTATATTTTTGCTAAATGTAAAAGCATAGAGCAGCATCCGAGGCTATGCAAACGAATGTCAAATTCTCCTTTTATCTGTTTCATTTAAAATTTCTAAATAGTCCTATTCTTAGATAATTTGGGAGCATATTACACCCATTAGGATGGCTATGAAGGAGCTTTATCCCTTGTGTTGCGTTAGTTAGTGAGTTTACATTGCTAGCATTCAGTTCATAAATTTACCGTGTGGTGTGAAGTGAATTTGAACTAATCGCCAATGCACCATCAGGCTTGAAATCACCAGCTCGAGATTACAGCATCCCCGGTTCAACAACAAGTAAAATATTTACAACAATTGGAGCTTCTGCTACCATTGTGTTTACATATAATACAGGGATGCTTCCCGAGATACAGGTAAAATAGGAACCCATGATCCATTTCAAAGCCTAATGCAGATATATCAATCTCTTTTTGTGTACTCTGAAAACTAACACTTAAATGGGTGACACAAACAGGCAACTATCAGGCAGCCGGTAGTAAAGAACATGATGAAAGCTCTATATTTCCAGTTTACAGTTGGAGGTCTACCTCTTTATTTGGTAACATTTACAGGGTATTGGGCTTATGGATCTTCCACATCATCCTATTTGCTGAAAAATGTGCATGGTCCAGTCTGGTTGAAAGCCACTGCCAACATTGCTGCCTTTTTGCAGTCAGGCATCGCATTGCACGTACTCACATCTAAACTAGAATGCTTGTTGATTTTAAACATTTCCTTGAACAATTTCACTGAACTCAGTCGTTCTTCTGCTTCTTTCAGATATTTGCAAGCCCAATGTATGAGTTTTTGGATACTAAATACGGGATCACAGGAAGTCCGTTGGCTCTGAAGAACTTGTCATTTCGAGTTTTGGTAAGAGGTGGCTACTTGGCCTTCAATACATTTGTGGCTGCTCTCCTTCCTTTCCTTGGAGATTTCATGAGCCTCACAGGAGCTATCAGCACATTTCCGCTGACATTTATACTGGCGAATCATATGTATTTAGTGGCAAAGAAGAACAAACTAACGTCCTTACAGAAGCTCTGGCACTGGCTCAATGTTTGTTTCTTTGGCATCATGTCTGTTGCTGCAGCAATTGCAGCACTACAGCTCATCGCCGTTGATTCCAAAACGTACAGTTTTTTTGCTGATTTATGATTAAATCCAATTTATTCTCTGAGCAAATGCAAATGTAGTGGCCGCGCTTTGTGCTTTAAATAGGCCTTTATTAAGGAATAAAACGGGTATTACCTATCAAAAGATTGTATGATTGTTGTGTTCCTCTAGGATCGAAGAGGTTATTGTCTGAAAACAGTAAACATAACTGCACTTAAAAGTTACTATAAAAAAGTGAAGATAAATCCAATGCATTTTCAACGTGTATACTTTCTTATAGGCCACCGGTGAGTTTTACCTTAGCATCATCAGTGACGGACGGCTTCATAGCTAACACATACAAGAGCCAGATGAAGTCGCAATGCTCTTATTACATGAATGTTAATGTTGCTATGGCTGGGCGAAATGGTTTTATGCACATAATTCATATAAGAACAAACGGATCGCAGGCCCAAGAAGGACAAATACTTCGATGGGTATTTTCTACAGAAAACAATTGTCAAACTTTACTACCCAAGAAATAGTTGCTAAAATAATCCGTATAAGAATCATTGACCTGCAATCATTCATCCAGAAAACGAAATAGTGTAAAATGTAATGCACTCTCATTTCCCTCGTAGCTTCTTTTTCTTTGTACTGCGCAAGAAAAGGGCAGGAAGGAAGCAGAGGGGCTTTAGATGGATGCCAGGCTTTGCCGACTGTTCTATCTGTTGGATACTATCTTCATCCACCGACCTGCCAATTTTCAAATTCTAAAAGTTGAGAAGGAACCTGAAATATTCTAGAAATTATTTCATCAAGGTGTTCTCTCATAAGAGCAGGTCAGAGTTGACACCTTACCATCCTAGGTATCATCCAGAAACCAACTTTACAATTATGAAGATTGAGTTGAGAAGTATTAGAGGAACCCTCAAGTACTGTGTTGCATAAATGAGACCTATAAGCTGGCCTTTAAATGACTTTGTCTTGCCGCCTGAAAAATCTGAGAAGCTCCATCCTCTGGGAGCAAGGAAGCGATCCTCATTTAGGATTGCTAGCGCATTTGCAAGAAGCAGTAGCCCCTCAAGCAATGTCCACAGACCCATATCCCTGCATTATCAAGAAATCTAATCTGACGTAAAAAATCAATTCATTATACAAGTAATTCGCACTTTCTCTATCATTTGTAAAGATAATTCAATTGATAACAGAAGTAGAAGGGGAAAAAAGACAAGGACACATCATATAAAATTATCTGCAAGAAAGCCAGTTACAATCATCCTTAAACCTTCGATTGTCTCAATCTCAAACTGTATCTCAAGGGTTTTAACTCTTGATGCCTTATGCCTTGGGAGGCCCTGCTTTAGTTCATAAAATCAAACACCATTTCCTAAATCTGAGCTGTGCTTCTAATTCCAATGTTACCAATATATCACATCACCGTTCTAACACCGGTCTGCAGCAGCATTTTAAAGAACCTTGCTGATTGTGGGACATCATAAGAATTGGAAACAAGACATTGTCACGGCATTACAAATGTCGAACAGAACCAAACCATGGCTTTTCAAGCACCAGTTAATCAATACGTTCGCTTGTCATGGTAATGTAGCATGGCAGGCAGCTGTAAAACTAAGAAGGATAAGGGTCAACCCAAGGTTGGTAAAATCATATATTTGATCCACCATCTGTTGGAGCACCATGACAATAGAGCAGAAAGCATGATTTCTGAAAGTTCACATGGATAAACTTTCAAGAATCTGTACACACTAATGCACGATCTAATTAAGTTTGAAGTACTAAAACTATCGACAAACAGACATCCACCCTTATGCCTGCCCTTAATGGGCGTCTATAATCTAAGTTGCTTGTGAGAACACACAATGAAGCCAATCGAAGATTCAGGTGCTAAAATTTTGGATATTGATGCAGCCAAACCTTACTACAACAGAATACGATCAAAAAAGGATTTCCAATAGAATAAGGAAGGCATTAATGCCAAACTTTGAAATACAGCAATGAATCGAAAGAAAACTTTAGTATATATAAGTAGGATTCCCAGATCTAACCAAAAAAATCAATACCCAACAATGCAGACGTCGAACAAGAAGTCTACTTTAGAGCAGGAACAAATGGGAAAGCGAAAAGAAAAAAACTTACGAAGAGAAAGCTAAAATGTGGAAACCCAAATATAAACCGTAATAGAAAGGTAGATCAGGTCAGAAGATTGAGAGGCAGATAACGGGAGAGATAAGCTGATAAAGAAAATGGTGCTGATGCGCTTCACGTCTGTTGGACCAAACGCGGGAAGGACAGAGGAAATTAGAAAAACAGAGAAACGACAGCGCGGAGCGAAGAGCACAGTCTGATGCATTTCCTCACCGTTTCCTATTTTTGGCTGCCTGAACGGGGCAAATATTTTCTTTCTTGTTAATTTTGTTATCGCGCCATTTCAAATTTTCACACAATCGATCATCTGTGAAATAACTTATAAACTGTATTTTAGTTGTGATTTACCAAATACAACGTATAAAAATTTTTTATTTTGATTTACATAAAATGTGTTTATAAATGCTTATATAAATGTCTCCAAATAAGCACATCATTGCATGAACCACGTCTGGGAGGATGTGCGGGATGAGTGTGAGGAATACTAATTTAATCTCTTTTTAGAAGACCACTGTCTTGAAAAAAATAATTAAAAAAAAAAATCTCACAACCAAGCAAGCAGCTTTTAATATTTAAAAAAAAAAGGTTTATGATACTTATTTGTTATAAGATTTTTAATATTACATTGCCTTTTTTTTGCCCTGAATAATTACATTAGTTTACTTTTTATGTACCTTTCTTTTTTGAAATCTCGTAAGCCAAATGTGCCATTAAGAACATGGTAAAGCATCAAAGAGGGGAAATTGTCACCCATTTATATATTGATACGTGAATGAAATAAAAATCTTAAAGCACAAGTCATTCATCAAACTTCATTTGATCCGTTTAAACACGTTAGCTTTTGGGGGAGGGGGGGAAGATTATAAAAAGGCCTAATTAAAGTTAATCCAAATTGCATTACCAAGCTGGATTAATGGGCCCTAAAAACAGAGAAGTGGACCGAAGCCCAAATAGACGAGAGCCCAGTTATGAAAACAACCTGTGCTTTAAACTCTCCGTTTGATAAAAACCCTCGATCCCCAGCTCTCCGCCGATCTCCGCTTCTACATCAACTGGGGAGCGTAGCCAACCAGCCGAAGATGGTGAAGGGACGCCAAGGAGAGCGAGTTAGGTGTGTGATCTAATTACTAATCTCCTTTTACCTGAGTCTTAAACCATAGCTGCTGCAGCTCAGTTCTACGGGTTGCTCATAAAGATTCATTTTTGAGTGAATTTGGTCTTATGAGCTGCGGCCGTTAGCTCTCCACTTGGTTTTACCTTATGTTGATTATAGTAGTACGTTGCGTGTGCAGTTCTCGGGTTCTGTTTTTCCGTTACGTGGAGACATCATTACAGATGATTCACAGATATTGCTTTGAACGTTATGTACTTATTTTGCATTGGTTTGTAAGCTCTTGCATCATTGTGGCCAAGTATAGAAGTCGATTAACTTTAATTAGGCCTTTTTACAGAAATTAGCAGCTGATGATAGAACCATTTGATGATGTTTACAGAAATTTGATCTGTTGGATTATTCTTATGGGAAATGCATCATTTGGTATATAAAATTGCATATATGTTTACAATTTGGTATCCATTTGTTTAAATAAAGTGGAATAAAAATATACACACATTTATTTAGACCTTGGTATTATATTAACAATAACTGGAAAGAACAAGCTTTCGTGGTATATATTGCAAGTTTGCAGCTTATAAGGTTGCATAATTGCGTGTTTGATTATTTCTGGGTATACATAGGAGCTTGACTATTTCACAGATTTATTTATGCATATTATGTTCTTGGTCTGAACTTTCTTATTTGTTTTCATTTTTCCTGATGCTAATGTTTTGATTGTTTTTCCTTTTATACCAGACTCTATGTTCGAGGGTCAATCCTTGGATACAAGAGGTATTTTACTCTTCTCAAACTAAATTGTCATTTTTCCCCCCTCGTATAATGCGTTTTATTACATTGAAGATTTCCTTAAGAGTATCCAGTGAAAGATTTGGTTCAGTGGATATTGATTAGTTTGGATTTTTGTTTTTTAAGCTGATAATTTGATAATGTTGTCCAGGTCCAAGTCAAACCAATACCCAAATACATCACTTATCCAGATTGAGGGAGTGAACTCCAAGGAAGAGGTTGCATGGTACAGTGGCAAGCGCATGGCATACATTTACAAGGCCAAGGTGAAGAAGAACGGAAGCCACTACCGCTGCATTTGGGGGAAGGTTACCCGCCCTCATGGTAACAGTGGGATTGTCCGTGCCAAATTCAAGTCAAATTTGCCGCCCAAATCTATGGTGATTGTTGTGAAATAGAATTGATGAACACTTTTACATAGCTTTGGCTGAGGCTTTCTGAGTCATTTGAAAATTGAAAATTAATCTATGTGCAGGGAGCAAGGGTAAGAGTCTTCATGTATCCAAGCAACATTTGAGGTAATTATTCCGTTTTATTGATACTCGTGTGTTCTTCTTTGACATGTTCAGTTCTTTTTGTTCTTTTTACACTTATGGAAATGATTGGTAATATAGCATAATCTTTACATTTGCGTTGAGAGATGCTGACTAGATCAACTGCTGCTAAGTGTTGAATGTAAAGTCAAATCATAGCAATCTTCCTTATGTGAAGATGGTGTTGTGAGATTGCGTCGGTAGAACTTGAGCTCATGTTGTAGGTTGCTTCTATAACTTTGACACTTCAAATTGAGTTGTTCATTGCCATGACTTTCATACTTATGGGTAACTTATTTTCATACGCTCTGCCATTTGTTTGTTTCCCATGGTCTGGAAGTTTCACTATGGGAAGTTCTAATCATTGTTACTGCTCAATCATAAGCTTTTTTCCCCCCCAATAATAAGATATTTGCAATACGCATGCATGGCTTCTCTTCAAGCCAAGACGATGGTAGGGTTGTGAATTTCTGCCATAGATCTTCATTTTGAGCTCTCTTTCTTTTTTGCACAAATATTTCTTTTAAACCAGAAACACTTGGTGATTAATGCAGCTTATTATAAGTTATAAATTTTGTAATATACTACCTCCAGTCTTTAATATAAGAACTAGTTGACTAATTTGAGTAAATTAAAAAAATTAGTTAAATTAGTTATTTGTAATAAATTAGTATTATTTTTCCTAAAATAGTCTTACTAATCAAGTGTATTAGCTAGAATTATTATTATTACAAGGATTATCTTGGGGAAAAATAGATAAATACTACCTCCGGTCCTAATTATAAGACCCAGTTGACTAATTTGAGGAGATTAAGGAAAGAAGTTAAGTTAGTTATTTGTAATAAATAGGTGTTGCCGTTCCTAAGATATCCTTACTAATCAACTATATTAGCTAGGACTGCAATTATTAGAAGGATTATCTTGGAAAAAATGCATAAATATGAGAGACAAAGTGGATTGGGGTCTTATATTTAGGATCAAAATAAAAGTCAAACAGGGTCTTATATTAAGGACCGGAGGTAGTATAAGAGACAAAGTAGATTGGGATCTTATATTTGAGACCAGAATAAAAGTCAAACAAGCTCTTATATTGAGGACTGGAGATAGTATTTTATTCATATGCCCACTAGGTACCATGGTCAATGTCATCTTTTTGTCTGGCGTGCACCTTTATATTGCTGTTCGGTTTACTGTTGGTAGTTACTTTCAGTGTTCGCTCTTAAACCGCATGGCTAGTGACGTGGTTGCGTGCCATTTTATCTTAATTACTTCATCAATAATTTATGTTGTCTTGTTCTTATTTTGCATTTTGATTTTCCTTGTTGCAGATTCTCAGGGCGCATCGTGTAGTCTGAAGAGCGTTTATTCATAACTAGGAGGAGGCTGTTTTCTTTTAGTTTAATTTATGACCTTTTGTTCTGTTGAGCACAATAGATTGCTTGTTCATGATGTGGAAAGATCTGCATTATTTCCCATGAGTGTCAATCAGCGTTGCGACAACCCTTGGTTTAAAAGAAGACTAGGTATATATATTATGTTCTTTGTTGTCTGATTTTTGATAAAATCATGGCAAGAGTATAATTTTTCAGATTAGCATCGCATTATTGACTCATTTCAGTAAAATTCTTCCAGATCATGTTTTTATTTGACGGCAAAGATGATATTTGTTGTGTAATTTCTTAGATCTGGATCAAGCTGTGTGTTTCTGCGTAAATATTGAACGATTATATAACTGTGGCTAACAAATTTACAAGATGATGAAGTTTACAAGCTTTGAACAAAAAGATTTTTTCTACGAGAGATCTCGAGCAATATATGGAGCTGACTTATCATTTGACACAGAAGATGCAGAGAATTGGATCCCAAATTTTGGATGGTGTATTTGATTTAAGAGTACTGGTTGCTTGATCCATGTTTATAATATCATCAAATTGCTGATGTGAGACTTGGGAAATATATGCATATAACCTAATGTTAATCAAATGGTCCAGCGCAGGGGGGATCATTTTGGAATTTGGAATCAAATCCGTTCCTATATAGTATTGCCAAAACATTTATTACTATTTGCTCATCCCTCTACGATCTCCGCACCTAACCAATAAATATTTGGAAGGATATGTGTTTTGGCCCGATTTGTTAAAAAATAAAGAAGTCAGTTGCGATGTCTATATCATTGGAGGCAATAATAAATAAAGACTCTTCACCAAATAAAAAATAAATAAAAAAACTTGTAGAAATAATAATAATAATAATAATAATAATAATAATAATAAAAGACTCGAGCAACGTATCCCAAGTAACATCAAATTTATGTGGTTAATTGTTTGATCGTTCTTCCTAAATCTATACAGTGATCTTCAGATTCTCATTGGAGAAATGATAGTTTGAGACCAAGAAATAATCCTACGACATGTTTTTTAATTGGTTTTGTATGCGTGCATATTCCTGAACCATGTGCACTTCCACATGTTTACCCAAAGTTGCAAAAAAAAAAAAAAAAGGCAATCTGAGATCCCCCAAAAAAAGGGTCAACGGTCAATGCCTTCCTAATAACAAATGTGATCATGACGTTACTTCTCATGGATTAAAGGAATGAAAATGTTACTACTCCTCCGGTCTTATTATAAGA